CTCTGTGTTATTTCTACCACTTTCCTGTACGTCTAGAATTATTCCAAAATAAAAAGATTATTTATTTAAAAAATCAGCATGTATCTCATGGGATGGAGATAAATCAATACAGAAAAAGGCCTGCACTTAATATATAAAAATATAACTGTCATGATATTTTTATTTTATTTATCTTATTTTTTGGTTCCGGGCATTGAACCCAGGGCGTGGTAAGCGCTCAGCGCTCCCAGACAGCACTGTATTTTTGATTATGGTCGTAGTTGTTATTTTATCCTCATTATCCTTCGAAGTTCCCCATCCCCTCATCCAGCAGAGGTCACCCTGGGGCCCATGGCGTCCCCAGGACGTCTGTCCCCTCTCCTCATTGCTGGACTCTTTGCCAGGTCTGACTCCAGCCCAGGGAGGCCTCCTGAATCTGAACAAGATGGTCCGGCAAGTGACCAAGAAGATACCCCTCTTCAACTACTGGCCCTATGGTTGTTACTGCGGACTTGGTGGCAGAGGCCAGCCCAAAGATGCCACAGACTGGTAACCCCCTTCCCAGGCCCGTAGTCCTAGCCTGAGACGCTCCTTTCTTCTCCATTCATGGATTCATTTAATGAATTCATTTTGCTGAGCACCTACTATGTTACAGCCTCTCCTGAATCCCCATCCTTCTAGGTGGTAGCCCAGGTCTCTGCAGGTCTGACCCTCTTGCACTCCTGTCCCCTAATCTAGTAATGACACCTCCCCCCCCCCACACACACACTCCCTATTGCCACTGTACGAGGTGTTTCAAAGCCCCCGCCTCTTTTTGCTGAGTCTCATTTGATCCTCTCAACCACCCTGGAAATTGGCCCAAAGAGGGGTGAGGCCCGCCAGGGCTGGGGGCATGTCCCTGAGCCACCACTTACAGGCTGACTTCCTCGAGCCTTGGGTGGCCTTGAGGATTAAGAGAGAATGTTCAGTCGTGGCAGGTGCCTGGGGCACCAGAGGCATTAATGTTAGCTATTATGATCCTTGACTCTTCCCAGGTGGGCACATGGGTGGGAAGAGCCAGAGACCTGTGTGAGCTAGTGACCCATGCAGCTGGGCGCCCTGCCTGTCCCACCAGGTGCTGCCAGAAGCATGATTGTTGCTACAAACACCTGAGGACCTACCAATGCAGACCCAAGAGGGACCATTATAATTACACCTTTTCCCAGGGGGACGTCCAGTGCCGTGAGTACCTGGGTATTGGGGTCAGAGCTGGAGGCTCAGGGGGGGAGTTCTGGCCCTCACTGCCTTTGAAGGCTGAGTGGCCATGCATAAGCTACTTGACATCTCTGTTCTTCTTACGTGTCTGGTGGCAGCAGCTGGGCTGTGGAGGAGAAGCAGGCATGGGTGTGGGGTAAGGAGAGGTCCAAGGGGAGGTTTGATCCTTTTGGCATCAGGAAGCCAGGCCTAGCACTGATCAGTTCTGTGACCACAAGCACATTGTTTAACCTCTCTGAACCTCAGTATCCTTATCTGTAATCTACTCCATATAGTTATTGCAAGAACTCAAATGAAACCAACAGAATGAGCCTCACAGGACGGCTGCCACTGAGCACGCTCAGAAACCCACGGGGCTGCCCTTGGCATTGCTGTTACTTTCACCATTACTGACCCTCATAACAGCCCACAAGGGGGCAGCAAGACCCCCATCTCCGTTGCACAGACAAGGACGCTCAAACTAGAGCGGGGAAGCGTTTCCCTGGGTCACAGAGTTCCAAAGGAGAGGTCACCTAGCCCCAAAGGACAGGTCACCTAGCCCCTAGGTCAGCTGGCCCTTGGGCTGAGAATCTGAAGGTCTTTTTTGATAGCAGATGTTGGTAACTGAAGACTTCGTTTATTTTTGTTTTGTTTTTGTACTGAGGATTGAACCCAGGGGTGCTCTGCCACTGAGCCCTTTTATTTATTTATTTGTTTGTTTTGAGACAGAGTCTCTTTGAGTTGCTGAAACTGGCCTCCAACATGTGAACCCTCCTGCCTCAGCCTCCTGACTCACTAGGTCTATGGGTGTGCACCGCCATGCCCGGCTAACTAAGGGCTGAATAATAACCACACCCACTCTAGGCTAAGTACTTTGTACTCTTTAATTCCCACCATGGCCTTCTGAGCAGCCCCCGTCATTAACCCCACTTTCCAGATACAGAAATGGAGGCAGGTGGTCCCTCGGGCCTGGAGTCTGCACGTTCTCCTCCATCCTGGCCCCTCCCTCCCTGCCCTCCCCAGCTCTCCCTGGAAGGAGGAGACGCTGCAGCCAGCTTGTGGCTCCCGTGGCCCCTCACCACCATTCCACTCGTCCTCTCCAGCCCTGCGTGTGCACTCATTCTGCGGCGGTCTCATCCCTGTCCCCCAACCCCGGCCACCCGTTCTGTTCTGTGCTCTCCCTCCAGGACCAGCCCTGTGGGTGTGGGGTGCTCCATATTTGTGTAGTGGGTGGGTGACAGTAGGCAAGGACCAAGACACACAGGGAGTCCCATGGCTTTGGGGGCACCTCCAAGCTGAGCAGGGACTGGGCGGCCTTCCGGGGCCCCTGGACCAGGTCTTGTCTGGGCTTCCCCGGCAGCGGCTCAACGGCCCCCTCCTCCACCCACAGCCCACACGGGGAGCTGGTGCGAGCAGCAGCTGTGTGCCTGTGACAAGGAGGTGGCCTTCTGCCTGAAGAGCAACCTCGACTCCTACAACAAGCTCCTGCGTTTCTACTGGCGGTCCCGCTGCCAGGACCCCACTCCTTCATGCTAGAAGCCCAACTCGCTTCCCCTGCCATCCTTCCCCATCTCGGGGCATTGCCGTGGTCCCGCCCTGGCATCTGACCAGCTGGATTTTAAAACAGTCCAGGGGGAAGGGCCCCTCGCCCTTGCTGGGCCCGACCTCTGGACTCTCCCACCCAAGGCAGTGCCGGCTCCCCTGAGGGTGGGCGGAGGCCAGGGAGCACCCAGGACCATGAGGTTGGGCCAAAGCAGTCAGGGGAGGGGTGCTGGGGGGTCGAGGCAGCTGTGTGGGCCTGGCTCCCTGCCACTGCCACCCCTGCTGGTCCCTCTCACCAACCCCAAGCCACAGCCCGAGTGGCTGCTGTAAAGCGCAATGTTGATCATCCTGTCCGAGTGACTCTTGAAACCCCCAGGTCCTCCACGGCCCCAGCACAGAGCCCCTCAGAGCCCGGCCGTCTGGCCCCATGTCCCTCTTCCCAACTGGGCCCCAGAGAGTCCAGCCCCTCTCCCCAAGCTGCACCCCAGAGCAGCCTCAGAACAGAGCAGGCCTCCACAAACTCTGAGGACAGGGTGGGAGGAGGCCATGATGGGAGGAGGCCGCGGCTCTTGTAGCCCCAGGCTCCCTCCTGGCCTGCTGCTTCCTGCCTCTGGCACTTGCTCAGGGTCCTCCTGCAGAAATGGCCCTGTGGCCCCCTCCTCCTGGATGGCCTCCCCGGGCCTCTCAGGGAGAAAGGGCTGCTTCCTAGGAGAGTCTTCCTGGCTCATCTCTCCTCCCTCCAGGGCTCACGGGCACCTCCTGGCTCCCCTGGCCCTGGCTGGGGCTTCCCATGAGGGGTGAATGGGACTCCTCCCCATCCCCAGCCAGACAGGCGCACCTCGAGGACACAGACCACGTCCGCCTCATCTGTGTTTCCTCGGCTTCCCACGGGCTCGGTGCTCAGTTACTGTTGGGGATCAGATGAGCTAATCATGAACACGCTGGGGAGGGGCTGGAGACGATATTGGTGTCCCATCCAGATCCCTCCTGGACTCAGGACTCCACTCCCAACCAAGCCAGGTATTGGCTGCAAAGCCCCCACATCTGCCCTCCTTCTCTTCTTTTCTGGGAGTTTCCTGGCCCTGCACCCCACCCCACACCACACACACCCAAGGAGGCCACCTGTGACTGACCAAAGTTCAACACCCTGGAGGGCACAGCTGCCTGGCCCCCCTGCCTCCATGCACGACCATCTGGGTCAGTGCTCAGAGTTCCTCCGGGGATCAGGGTGGTAGGAAGCCCCAGAGACTTCTGGAACCACCTCTCCTCCCTGCCTCTTCCGCTGGCCCGGCCTGTTCTCCTGGTTCTCTGCAGCTTTCTCCAGAGACAGCCCTCGGTGAGAAACTTACACAGGATCCTCATCTGGGCTCTGCTTCTGGGGAAACACACATTTAGGCAGATGGCTTTTTCTTATAAGGATCCACAATCCGTCCTTCGTATATGATGAGCTGTGTGTCCAGCCACGGGGCCAGCTGAGGCACCTGGGGCTCCCCACACTGTGGCCTGTGTCGCACACCCGGGCAATGACCTATGGTACGGGTTTCCCGAAACTCAGTAGGTCGAGCGAGGCAGTGTGAGAGGAATTAAAAACTATAGGCTGTGGGTCCAAATTATCATTCTACGCCCACTCCTGTGAGGGACAGTGATGGTAGAGGGGACAGGAGGTTGCTAAATCTCCATTCTTTTCCACCCAAATTTTCTGTGAATCCCCCCCAAAATCTATTTTAAAACATTCCAGTGCTGTCTCTGACTATCCATGTGCCCTACTTGAGGGATCTCGGTTTCCTTGTGTGTGAAGTAGACATGAAAAATAAGAAGAGTTACTTGTATGTGAGTACTTGTCGCGATGGGCAAAAGGTGCGACTTATGCAGTCGAGGGGGAGAAATAAAGAATGTCCATGCGCTTCTGCCCTTTACAATTCTCAAGTCACACAATACAGTTTCACTCTATAGGTTCTTAATCAAGAAATGACCATCCTTAATGCTAGGCACTGCAAAAGACAGAATCAATTCACAGCAAACAATTCTAGATGAATTCTAAGCCCTGCAAACACACTTAATCATGACAGGCTCATGACAGACATTCCCTCTACGTGCTAAGTTCAAGTGTCAGATCTAAAGTCTCAAGCCTTGGGCTCTAAGTCCAGCAGATGCACACTCCCTAAGACTATGGTGATCAGGTCAGGAACCAAGGCAGGCTTCTCCTGGGGTGGAGCTGACGGCTGGCTGAGGAGAGGGTCATAGGGAGAAGTCTCGGCTCTCACCAGGGTCAAGATGTGGCTGTAGAGTTTGAGGGAGGTGAGGAAGATGCAGAGGATCAGCAAATGATGAGCAGAGCTGGGATGTCAGCCAGGTCCTCACCAAGCTCAAAGTGAGGGCATCAGTGTCGGCTGGCTGAGTGTCTGTTCATTGGCTCCTCATTTATACTAAATTTTGGGGCTTCTTTTGCCTCTGCAAAAGGCAGAGGCACAGGGACTGCTCTGTGTCCTGTTTGTACCATCCAGAAGGTTCCAGCTAGGCTGGGTAACTTAGTGGTAGAGGGCTTGCTAGAGAACACGAGGCCCTGAGCTCCATCCCCAGGAGCCCCCACCCTGACAAAAGCAGAAGCTTCCAGCTGATAACTGGCTCCGTGGATTTCCACGCTGAGGGCGTCGATGATGTCATGGGACACGAAGTTGACAGGGAGGGAGGTTCCAAGTTTGGCTCTTTGGCAACTTGAGGATGTCATCAAAGCCTGGTTTCTCTCCTGCTCCTGGGTGGGCCACCCTTACAGTGCTGGCTTTGCCCTTAGGGGGCCACTCATGGCTGCTGTGTTTCCAGACCTCAAGCCAGGGTCCAGCCCAGAAGACGCTGTCTCTTCTGTGTCTAGCCCATCACAGCCACTGGACTTCTCCATAGGATAGCCCCCCCCCCCCCAAACCAGTAGTGGCCCAAGGCAATGGTTGGTTTAGAGACTTCCGGATTTATTTGTCCCTGAGAGGGGACAGAGTCAATGTCCCCAAGGGGCAGGTAGCTGATAGAATTAGGACGTTGCATTGCCCAGGCTGAAGGCTGAAATACCCTCATGGTTGAGGGGTAGGGCTGGGTGCAGGGGTCTCCCTGCGACCTCCCCTCACCCAGCGCAGGCCTGGCACCTAGTGGGAGATCAGTCGGTATTTGTTGTGTGAATGAGTGACTCTCAGATAGGCTGAGACGTGGGACTTAGGGTCAGGAGGCAGGAAGGGGGACCTCAGGCAGCCGGGACGGTGGGTCCCAAGGTAAGCAGTGGCCCTAACCCTTGAGCTCTTCTCAGGTCCCATTTATTGAAATTGGACCAGAGCTGAAAGGAAGGACAGCTCCCGGGGACATCCGTTCCCCACCCACGTCCCCCACGTGCACCTGTGTGAACCAGTGGGCGGGAGGGCACAGCCACGGTACTTCCTGTTCCCTTCAGGTCACCCAGTGGG